GTGTGTATTACAAAGAATCAGACCCCCTTTATATAATAGGGGAGTCCGGCTTTACGTACAATTCTATAAAAGGTAAGAAATCTCGTGATTTGCTAATTAGTCGGTCTCTCGTTGATACATGCCGAGATTCCCGCCGCGATATCCGATCGGTTGCGAATATTTCGGTCTTCCGATGTTGGGTCCGATAATTTTTCCTCGAGCTTGTTCAGAATCGGGATCGATTCTGGATTCACGGGCTCGAAGATCTTGGAGACGTATGTTCTGACTTCGTACTTTGGTTCGATGGAACCTGGGTCGATCTTCAATCCATCATGTTTCGGTTCTGATCCGTCATGCAATAGATGAGCCCGGTTTCGGCCGTATACACTTCTCCAAGGCCAAAATCTTTTTTTCCCCAAAATTAAAATGTTTGGCCAACCTTTTAGGGGAAAAAATGTTTTTAAATAAAGGCAGAAAAAATAGCTTCTCCCCAAAAGGACTTTTGAGAAAAATACACTTAGGGCTTGTTTGGTATGAGGGATAAGAGATAGTTAATCCCGGGATTAAATTTGAGATGAGTTTATCCCACGTTTGGTTGGAAAAAAAATCATGGTATAACTAATCTCGGGATTAGTTATCCGGGGATTATAGTATTTGTTTTTATCGAGGGTGAGATAACTAATCCCGGGATAACTAATCATGGGATAACTTGTTTCCCAACCAAACGACCCCTTAGAAGCACTTCTTAAAAACTTGGCCAAACACTAATTGCTACTCAGAAGTACTTTTCAAATTAATTAGTCAAATACAAACCGCTTCTCACAAAAAGTAATTTTGAGAAAAGGACTTTTGAGAAAAAATAATTCTCAAAATAAGCTGATTTTAGAAGTTTGACCAAATAGGCTATTCGAGAGTAACAGTTTGTGTTTGGTTAATCATGTTGAAAAACACTTTTACCAATATTAGAACAGTAATTTCTGCTTGGTCAAGATTCCAAAAGTGCTTTTAGGAAAAAACTTTTTTTTTTTTATTCTTTTACTGAAATTCAAAAGTAGTTATTTTTTCATAAAAGTTTAGCCAGACACCAATAATCCACTCCAACTTGGCTATAATTGAGACAAGAGTAAGATTACCCTTTATTTTTATTTTTTATACGAGAACCAACTTTGCATTTATCTCCCCAGATAATTATCTCTTTACTTCTCCATTTGTGTTGAAACTTGAAACTAGATGTTATCTCTTTTATCTTTACCATATGCAGTGCTAACAGGGAAACATATATGCCTCGTTATGCAACTAAATGTTTGAAACTATATTGGAATTAGAAACAAGAAGATGCAATCCAAGTCAATTATTTTTTACCACGTAAATCTCCAAAATTGAAATATTAGCAGACCCCACTTGTTGAATTACACTAAGTTCATTATTATTGCTATTGTTGTAAACATCAAAAGTTGGAAATATTTCTCATTCATTATGCCATTCTCCTTTCTCGTCCCTTGGTTCCTATCAAGATTTAAATCAAATCTAGTTCACAATATTGGATAATACTTCCACGAAAATAAGCGTAACGTGTTATGCATTGTGATCTTATTTTACTGTGAATTTGAGAACGATGAATTATCATTTACTCACATAATAATAGCAAAAAATAAAATGAATATTTTGTCATAAAAACTAGCTAGATGCATAACATGTTACTGGAGTATACATTGCAACCAGATAATGTACCAAAGGTGCAAAATCAGTGTTACGTATAAGAAAGGTGCATGTCACAAATAAGCCACTTTTCAACCCCTTATAATTGGAAATAGGGATTTTTTCCTATCTATACCATATATGAAACCTTATTACTAAAAATGTGCATATTTCCATTATTACCCGTCATGTTTATATTTTTCCTACAAAATTTATACCATTCATTAAATACCCAATATTAAGAGCTGATTCCTTCCAAATTAGGCGCCTACAAATCTGGGATAAATATTTGAATAGTTTATTCCTTCCAAATTAGGCGCCTAAAAATTTGGGACTAAATATTTTTTCATATTCACATCAGATTTGTTTCCTCCCTTTTCTGCAGGCTTCTCTTTCATCATTTTTCACGTATTTCTGTTTCTCCAATACCATTCCCATTTGAAGAATGACTCAAGAATGTGCAAAGAAGATACAGATGCTACTAGCGCCACAAACAAGAAGCTCGAAATAGTAATGAATAAAACGAGATATATACAACAGGCCACTTCTAGGTTAACAGAAAACAACAGGGACGTTGCAACAGTGAGTAGATTTGAAGCTGGAAGAATAGAAAAATATATTGGTGAAATGAAACTATCTAAGTTAAACATTTGCTTCCAAACACAAAAAAATGTTGACTACAAAATTTTCTCCTAATCTACAAAAAATCTATAAATAAACTACAAATCAGTTTACGTATGTATAAAGCAGTATTGTTTTGAAGGGTATCTACAAAATTACTACATTTATACTACAATTACACTACAATCTATGTTGAAAAAAGATGTTGACTACAAAATTTTCTCTTTATCTACAAAATTTCTAAAAATAAACCACAAATCAGTTTAAGTATTGTATAAAGTTGTATTGTTTTTAAGGGTATCTATAAAATTATTACATTTATACTACAATTAAATTATAATCTATGTTGAAAAAAAATGTTGACTACAAATTTTCTCTTCATCTACAAAATTTCTACAAAAAAAAAAAAAAACTACAAATAAACTACAAATCAGTTTAAGTATTGTATAAAGTTGTATTATTTTTAAGGGTATCTACAAAATTACTACATTTATACTACAATTAAACTACAATCTTATGTGGAAAAAAATGTTGACAACAAAATTTGCTCTTCATCTACAAAATTTTCTACATAAACTACAAATAAACTACAAATTGTCACCCTACTACCTCAAAAAATTGCACGAGATCGACTAGGATTAAAAAGAAGAGAAAATGAAGAAATTGTCGATGAGAAGCTTTAAACTCGAGGAGAACCAAATAGAAGGTGAATCAAGAGTTTAGGACTGAGATATTGATTTTGCTGACTTCATCTTCTTTTTCAGATCTAGCTAGTGTTTTGATTTTGATTATTCTACATCTTGATGGTTACGACCTTTTGAAGCTCGCCGGAGGAGGTTACAGAAGATTCATATGGCTACCCCACAAATTTACAATTAAGAATTGTCTATGTTGAAAAACAATGGGTTTCATATTGAATCTCTTTGGCTAAAAATCTGATTATAAAAAATGGGTCTCATTTCTGTATTTTTTGAGAAGAAGAAGGAATGGAGAAGAGAAAGAAATGGGAGGGGGAAAATGGCGCTGGTCAGATCTTTGGAATTAAGGGGAGAGAGAAACGTGGGATATATGGACACCTTTAATTAAAGAGTAAAAAACTGCCAATTAATTATGCCTCTAAATTAATTATGGTATATAAATGGTAATTTGGTATGCTAAAATGTAATTAACTCAAACCTTAAACATTGAGGGTAATAAGGTTTCATATGTGGTATAGGAAGGTAAAAATTCTTTAAAAATAGCCACTGCGATATATTTTCAAATTCACAGATATAACTCCAAGTCCAAGACATTGAGCCCGTTTGGATTGGCTTATTTTAAGTGTTTTTAAACCAAAATCGCTTTTAAGCCATTTTGTAGTGTTTGGATAAAGTAAAAAAGTACTTTTAAGCACTTATTTTTAAGCTAAAATGACAAAAATAAGTCAAAAGCCAAAAGCTAGAATTCCTAACTTATGGCTTTTGACTTAAAAGTCACTTATAACAAGCCCATCCAAACGGGCTCATTGTCATGGAGTTTCATCTGTTTAATTTGAAACTCTACCACAGTGACCATTTTCAAGGGAAAAATACAAAATTGACAGGTCGACCGAAAGCTAATGACATCTGCTAGTTAAAAAATGTATTAAAATATATATATATATATATATATATATATATATATATATATATATTTTATCGGCTATTATTTTTTGAAGCGACTAAAAATATATTTCTCTATTTTCAAAAGCAAGGTGGAAAAGTGACTGCTATTTCCACAGGTTAGTCTGACCCACGAACCGAACTAGACCAACTCAAAAAGAGGTTGGGGCCCGGCCCAATAATCAAAATAGAGGTCGGCTAAGCTAGGCCTGGCCCATGGGAGATCGATTTGGGACCTGAACCCGAACCAAACCCAAGATGAGGGCCTGACTTCTAATTTTTATTTTTTTTTATTTTTTTAAAAGATCGAATCAAATGGTTATTGTTCTCCTTAGTCCTTATATGCTTTGTTTTATTAGCACATATAGCACTATCCACCATCATTTTCCTTCAAAAAAGAAAAAAAAGAATATGAATGCTTGGACTGACAATACTCTTGAAGAGAATATAGGGAAAAGGACTTCTCTTCTATCATTACATTTTTCACTTACTAATGTTATTTAGGGATTTTAATTTCATATAGAGATAAATTTGAATGCTATTATGTAGTTTTTCTTACTTCTCTGTTAACTATGAGACAAAAGATGTCTGAAATTATGATTAAAGGGGTGCATTAAATTATTATGAAAGCTAGGGGTTGCAAAGCATATACTGTAAATGACCTTTGTGCAATTTGTTCATAAATTTTGTTAAAAGATCTCTTAATAAAAGGTGCAACAGACTGACAATATAATGGAATTATCTCAACAAAGTATTCTTATGAAGAGAATAGGTTATTGCATATTCTTATCTTATTTTCCATATTTTCGTAATCTTTCTTTTAAAATAATTTATTAATTTTTTTTCTAAATTTTAATTTGTTTCCCATTTTTTATAGCAGATATATATATATATGTAAATATATTGCGAAATATTTAAGAAACTAAAAATAGTTTTTGGAATCTAAGTATCCAATTTTGAAGTAGTCAAGGCCAAAAGAAACATTCAGAAAAAAAATAAGGCCAAAAGAAACACACTATTTTTTTTTTTTTCTTTTTTGTTTTTCAATGTCTTAATAACCTCAAAATATACCAGCACATTCACACTCAAAAACTCAAAAAGCACAAATGTTCTCTTCTTCATCCCTCTCTTCTCGGATCTCTCAGTTTCCTCAATCCAATACTATGCAGGTACCTCTTTGCACTTCCCTCTTTATTCCCTGATATCAAAATCAAATCTTTCCCCCACTTACACTTTTAATATGTCTTTTTTCATTAACCATTTCACTTTCTGTTGATTGGTTCTTGCTTTTTTAGCCCCCCCTCTGGCATGGATTGTTAAAAAGATTTAATTTTTGATTTGGGATTTCAGATTCTTGCAGTAAATTAGATTTCTTGAATACCCTTTTGAGGAATTTGTATTGAAGTTTAATAAAATGATTCCTTTTTATTGATTTGGTAGGGATTTGTTTGATTTAATCATTCTTGTGAAAGAGGTGTAGAAAATAATTGTGAATTAGCAGAACCCCATTTAGTATTCTGTTGAAATAGGTTAGAGTTATGTTTAAGATAATAAAAAGAGGGAAGAAAAGCTCGAAAGGGGATGCTGTGGAGCCTCCAATACCAACCTCATTGCCTAATGTGACTGCTGATCACGCTTCGCGGATAGCAACATCCGCTGTGACATCACAGCCTGTTACTTTGGCAAATGCCACACCAGATCCTAGTGTGGTTGAAGTCTTGCCCTTATTGAAGGAGGTTGCACTTTCCGACCGCCATGTTTTGTTCATCCGGAAGCTCCAAATTTGCTGTGTGCAATTTGACTTCTCGGATACGGTGAAGTGTGCTAGACAAAAGGAGATCAAGAGGCAAACACTCACTGAGCTTATTGATTTAGTTCAATCGGGCTCGTGTAAAATGAATGAAATAATGCAGGAAGAGTTAGTTAGGATGATATCCACCAATCTTTTCCGGTGTCTGCCTCCTGCTTCGCATGAGAATACTGGGTCAGAAGGTGTTGAGGAAGAGGATGAAATGTATCTTGATCCGTCATGGCCTCATTTGCAACTAGTGTATGAGTTACTTTTAAGGTATGTGATGTCGTCCGAAATGGATACCAAGGTTGCCAAGCGATATCTTGACCACTCGTTTGTGCTGAAACTGCTCGACTTGTTTGATTCAGAGGATCCTAGAGAGCGGGAGTATTTGAAGACTATTCTTCACCGCATATATGGGAAATTCATGGTTCATCGCCCGTTTATAAGGAACGCGATAAACAATGTATTCTACAGGTTTATATTTGAGACGGAGAGGCATAATGGTATCGGTGAGCTGCTAGAGATTCTGGGAAGTGTAATAAATGGGTTTGCCCTGCCAATGAAAGAAGAGCATAAGTTGTTTCTTGTTCGGGCGCTTATTCCTCTCCACAAGCCTAAATGTGTTTCTGCATATCACCATCAGCTGTCCTACTGCATTGCTCAGTTTGTTGAGAAAGATTACAGATTGGCAGATATCGTCATCAGAGGGCTGCTAAAATACTGGCCAATTACTAATTGCGGAAAGGAGGTTCTCTTTCTTAATGAACTAGAAGAAGTACTGGAAGGTACACAGCCAGCTGAATTTCAGCGTTGTTTGGTTCCTCTTTTCAAGCAACTTGGACGAAGCATCAATAGTCCCCATTTTCAGGTCTGTGAATAGTATTCCTATCACCACATTTCTCTCTCTTATGCATATTTGTCGAGTACGGGCTGAACTAATCAATGTGGATCTTCTTCGGTTTTGTATCTTCATGACTTCTTTTGTGGGACTGAGGCGTAGTTGTTTGAAGGAACTATGTTTTTAAGTATAAAATTCATGACTTGATTACTTAAGAAATATGATATTTTGTAACTATCAGAAAATTGACTATTTTATGAAAAGAAAAAAAGAAGAAGTTGAGAAGCCCTATCTGGAAATCTTAATAGGGAAATGATTTTGTGTCATTTTCTCTATGTAGAAAACAGGAGTCCAAAAAAAAATCACTTACTTACCGAGTGATCCTAGTTATGATATCTATGCGTTTGACGATACATTTAAATCAATACGATATAACTATATAATAGCTGATGCACCCTTATAATAGGTTACAATGCGGAAATAATATGCTCCTAAAGCTGATAAAAGCATTAGAGCGAACTGGTACTTGAGGTAGTTTCCACCTTTGACGTAAAATTATCACATTTGACTATCCGAGACGCCAGCTAATCATTTGGAACTTGATTTCATATTAGTCAAATATGTTGACGAATGGCACAATACTGAAACAAGCTGTAGTTGTTTTTGTCTAATCGTGAGAAAAGGATTATGACATTTAAGAATTATTAAATCTTTTTCTTAATTGTAAGACATTAAGGGGAAACTGAATCCACATCTCATTCTTATGTTCTTCATGTACAAACAGCCGCAGTAGTCAGTAGTTTAGAAGTCCTTTGCTTTGAAGATGCATAATTTACTATATCTCCCAGAATCAAGCAATTAATTGGAGCAACGAATCTTATATCCAATTAACCTAGTGCCCCTAGGGCCCCAACTTTCTGCTGGGAAAAATTATGAATATGGAATATGGAGGTGAGTGTACTTATACATGTGAATTTAGTTTATGGTCCATTTGCTGGTCGACTGGTGATTCCTAAGATATTAATTGTACTTTCTGGACTTACAATTTAGAAATCTAATGCAAGATAATTGCAAAGGAAAGGACTCAAAAGTTTTTTGCATGACAATCTGCAAGCATGGAGCTTAACTTGAAATAAACCGAAGTTCGCACAATGTAATAGGGTACTAGTTTTTGCAACTAAGGTGAACTATTTTTCCAGTTTGATGGCGGGGAAAAGCTTATTTTCTCTAAATCAAAATATTTTTTGCCTCTTCTTAAACATTAAACACTGTGTCTCAGACTGCTTGTCAGCTTTCAAAGCATTAAAGTTTAAGTTTGAATGCTGATAATATTTTGATGCACGAGTTAATATGCATTAATTCATGAAATGACATTTAGGAGATATCTTGACTAGTTGACAAGACAATTAAGGCTCAAAGGGACTAAGTATTTTGATAGCCCAAATGGGCTGGAATTGAGATTGAAGGCTTCAGCTTGTCTTCTCTTCTAGCTTCTGAAATGCAGTTTCTCTAACCTAAAGTCAAAAAATCCCCTCAAGTTTTACCTATCCGTTATTATGTAAAAAAAAAGTTACATCAATCGCCTAGCGTGAAACTAGTAACCAGATGATTGGAGTTCTTTTTGAGAAGTTGACGATTTGACTGATTTTGTTTATCTTTGAAGTAACACATAAAGAAGTATTTCCTTGAATTATAACCTTCCAATCACTGTATTGGACTAATCACGTTCACAGTTGCTATCACCATAACATAATAATAGAAGGGGTTTGCCATATGAGGCAGCATTACTTTTACTGGATATCATTTTGAATAAACTATGACTTATTGCTCTTTTTAGGGTGTTATGATCCAAGGACACTTACTTTTGTGGCACATTTCCGCAAAGGTTAAACATATTCCATTCAAAATGTTATGCTTGATACTGACAGTAAAGCATTGTGGATAGTCGAGGTGTTTCAATTTGGAACGAGGAATGACTATTCTGCAGTGTAGATATACTTATAGCATCTTATGATGGGATAAGACGATAAGTATATGGATTATATGTTTTACCTTTAGCCCCCTTTGTGCTCACTTATTGGGTTGACCATGCCTAGTTTAAGCTAGTGAAGCGCTTCTATCTTTCTTTTAATTGTAAAGTTGACAACCATAAGACTATTAACAGATTTATGTTGGTGAAACTCCAATTTTCTTTAGCAATTTATTATATCCATACACCGATGTCTGAGTGCCTTTACTTTCGAGCACTTAATGCAATGCAAGAATCCGAATTTTAAGCACTCAGCAGACAATATTCTAAAATGAACCAGTTTACTTGTCAAAATTTTGTCCCTTATTCAAACTTTTTAAGAATAATCTGTTTTAGTCCATTGTATGTACGTACCATGATTGAGTTGTTTCAACTTAAAGTTATTATTGTATTATAAGATATGTTCCAAAGTGGCCAGGCTTGATGAATGGGACTGCATCAAAGACTGTTTCTGGCACATTTATTGTTTCACGTTATGCTACCTGAGAGCTATATGTTGGAGCTTCTAATATAAAATTTACAAGCTAAGCTATTTTGTTTGATGTATTTCTAGAATTATGCAGTGTTCTGTTCTTGATGAACATGAGATTCTAGCATTTAGAGTATACTACTGTTGCTTCTCTCCACTGATTTTGAGTTCACACTATATCTTATTGATACTTCATCCACACATGAGTATTGTTACCATTTTTTGCACTTGAGTTTATGCATAGTCGAACTACATACAATGTTGTATGTAATGGGTGACTACTGTTATTCCGGAATACACAGAGTTCCTATTTATTTGAATTTTGTGCCATGAGAACTAAGGTGAAATGTAACCAAAATGGTAGGTTTAGACAGGGTACTTACTACTGAAGGCCATAGGAAAACGTACTATTTTTTTAAAATAGTTGCTGAATTTGAAGCTGATATCATTATTTATTTAGTATGGCGTCTCATCTTGTTATGGCAATTTGGTCTGTAATAGTTTGTTTTTCTGAATGTTTCTTGTGTTCGTGTTTCCGAAGGTTGCATGAAAAATGAAATCATGATTCAAAGATTTTATGCATGGCAGGTTGCTGAGAGAGCTCTTTTCTTATGGAACAATGAGCATATAGTAGACTTGATCGCGCAGAATCGACGTGCAATTTTGCCAATTATCTTTGAGCCATTAGAAAGAAATATGTTTGGTCACTGGAATCAGGCAGTCCACGGGCTGACCTCCAATGTCCGGAGAATGTTCTTGGAGATGGATTCAGAACTTTTCGAAGAGTGTGAAAAGCAACACAATGAAAGAGCAGCCGGTGCCAGCGGAGTTGTGGAGCAGCGCGAGCTGACTTGGAAGAAATTGGAAGAAGCTGCGGAGCTGATCAGGTAGAACACGTTGGAACAGCTTATCAATTCCAGCTGAGCTCTGTGCGAGTAGTACTCCTTTCTCTCATTAACCAGAATGCTTACAACGTCAAACAATGCACGGTGATGGTTTTTGACTTTGCAAACTGAAGCTGATTTGCTCCGAGTTGTTTTTCCATGCTTCCAACTGCTTTTCTATAATTTGAGCGAGGCAGGCTGAAGGTATGGACATTGTGTTATCGTTCCTTGGCAGATATATTGTGGAAGTTTTGTTTATTTTAGCTATTCAAAGACAATTATTCTTTAGCATTTTAGCACTAACCAATAATCAAACTTCTGGTCTTTGTGATCACCCCCCCTCCCCCCAACCCCTTCCCTCCCACTACCTTATTCTAGGACATGGAAACAGAAAAAGAAATTTATTATTCCATGGTTTCTTTATTGCGCTTGTATTTTGTTGGAAGTACGTTTTGATAGTGAGAATCTGCTAATTGACTGTTTTTTTCTTCTTGTTCTATGTATAAGCAACTTATTTGTAGCAGTTCTCTTGAAAGTTTTTCAAAGCAAACAAATCTTCGAGGTGTCTACTGGCCCTCCAGACCCTCCCCCCCCCGGGCCCGCATATTCCAGCAGAGGTACCCTGGAAACAATAAAAAGAGAGAAGTCGAAGATGGAAAGGTTAAAGAGTAGGACTTTGAACATGACAGCTAGGTGATACTGCTTAAACTATCAGTTACTGACTACTATACTTAGAAACTTTTAAGAATCTTCTCGGTTATATTTGGTTTCATATCAGTTGAGAGAATCAAGAACCTGGAGAAGCAGGAAATAAGATATCCAAGTAAAAGAAGTGATAGCAGTAGGAAGGTATAAGCATATGTAGCCCCAAGAGTTGGCCTTAGGTTTGATTTGATCTTCAAGAAATATTGCAATATGTTAGATAATATTTTAAGATGAATGTTAAGAGACTATAATTGCTGGTGAAGCAATAGTAACCTTAATTCCAGCTTGATATTACTATCAATTAGTTATATGCCAGAAGTGGGAGCACCTAGTTATGATCCTTTGAAGTAGAAAATTTTCTTTAGATACATTCTTTGTAGAATAGTATTACAATCTTTCACATCCTAAGTTTACTATAGTAACAGTATTAATGGCTTTGTCAATAGGCCACCATTGTTGGTGGTAACATACAAAATTAGAAGAGACATCAAGATGGTAGTGGTTGAAGGTGGTGATGATGATCCTGCCGATGCAACGCTCCCAAATACCTTTTCTAAGAAGTCGCTATCACCGTCATTAGACCTAGCTCCGCCACCCTGGTTGGTTCCGACGGTGGTTCTGGTTCTTCCACCATATGACATGGCCACAGTGGTATCCCTGTTGTATAATAGAAGACTTCTTTACCATTATCTTAGTAACTGAGTAGATGCAGATGGCTTGTTATGCTAACAGAAGACTAGAATAAAATTTGATTTTTCCTTTTTTTTTTTTTTGGAGTGGGAGTGACTATTCTTAAATGGCTGAGAGTTGCACCAGAAAGGCCTAAAAAAGACAAGTCTTATCCTAGCAAAATGCAAAAAAATATTAGATGATTTTTTCTCATATGCTTAAGTTTTGGCGGGCAAGATTGCTCGATACTCACTGAAATAGTCGAAGTGTGGTGTAAGCTTGTCTAGATACTACTTTTATCAAAAAAACAAAACAACAAAATAGTCTAAAGGCCTCCAGGGTATTGATCTAGTTATAAAAGTGCTGCGCGAGATGTGTGGGTTCAAACACTGCTGCAGATAAAAACATGTTATTTAAGTAAAAAACGCAGAGGAATTGACTTATTATCAGCCAAGTTTCAAACCGTGCGCCACTCGCCTCTAAGGATTTCTTGATTTTTTTATAATAAAAAAAAGGCCTAAAAGAGAACTCCAACTAGACTACTTTGGGGTTGTGGTCAGCTTCTAGATTCTGAAAGCCGGCATTATCACATGGACCTATGCAGCATAACTTGGTAATATATTCTCTATTCTTATCATTTTCCTATATTCTTTGTTTTGTTCATTTCCAAATTTATCCTTGTTTTTGTCCATAGGCAACGGAAAGGAAAGATGTAATGGATGCATTTACCTCCACTATTTTTTCCTCGAATCATATACTCTCTCCACTGTATAAATCAACATGCTAACTGTGTCTCAGTTTCACCCTAGATAGGTCAACTCTATAAATTAAACTCCCTCCATCCCAAAATACTTGTCAATTTTCACTTAACACCATAGTTCAGTGGTCAAGGAAGTTCAAAACCTTTATGAGGTTGCTGGTTCAATTCTCATTAGCCACAGTATCTTCTAATTTTTTAACTTTTTTTTAAAAATCCCTTTTGCGAAAATCGTGCCTCCACCATTGATCACGACTGTGGTTCTAGGTATCTATGTTGCGGGGACTCTCCAAAATAATGTCGCACCTGTGTCGGCTCCTCCAAAAAATATACTATTTTTGGAGGATCCGACACGCACCCGACAACATTTTCGGAGAGTCCGAGCAACATAGCTTGGTATTACAAGGTTTTATTGATGTTTTTAGACAAGTTTAAGAACATATAGCTATATGCAAAATATAACTTTAAAAGTGTACATTTCATAACAACACCTTATTTCATATTCATTTTACCTGGGGACACCAAGGACACCAGCATTCATAGTGAGTTGATCAATGAGAAAAGCAGATTTAGGCTCCATACTTGATGCCAATGCATATTGGTTACTAAGTCCATCACCTGAAGGAACAAAATATGCTCCATTTACCATTTCGTCCCCTTCGGTCCTCCAGTTCCACTGAGTCCAATCTTTCTCGTCTGTGTCAACTCGCTTCGTCACCTACTTACATTCATAAGATTCAAAGAGTACGAGTTCAAATTTCAGTGACACTGATCGTTCTCGTTAATAGAAAATATCCACATTGCTAGTACTATGAAAAAATAAATTACCTCCTTGGCATTAGGGTCCTCAGGTGCAGTAAAACGGTTGCCCTGACTGTTAATGGTGGGATTAGCGCTACCACCAATTGCATACATTTGCCATTCTGTAAAATCATTGTTGACTACATGTATATAACCTCTTCTACACCTTGGCATTCTCTGTACCAGTCCTTGTCCAAAATGATTAAAGGCTATTGTCACCTGATGATTACATACCAAAATCCAAAATTTTCATCTTTTTATTAAAAAAAATGAAAAAACAATGTGACACACAAACAATTCTTTTTGTTCACATACCTAATAGGTATGGAGGAAGGGGAAATACTTACGTCATTCAGTATTTACATCAAATCAAATAATCTTACTATAAGCTGTCAGTTCCATGACCTAGCGACCACGTGGGCATGTCTAACTAGACCTTTCATGTTATTTGAAAATATAAACCTTAAAGTTCATCTTTATGCAAAATGAAGATCAAAGGGAAAATTACAAATATTATTAATTTTCCATATTGGTACCAAAAGATTCATATAAATAACAGTGATCAAGAGGCTACTAAGATTTAAATTCGCATTTTTCCCCGCACATATATACTTTAAAATAACATGAAAGGTCCACTTAGACAACAATAAATAATTGTGATATTTTGACTTTGGACTATCTTCTAGACGAACTAAATTCAAACTGTGACATCTTAACAACTCAAAATTTCTTTAAAACCTAATTTACAAAACAATTAAAAAGGTAATTAAGAATCTAACCTGCATGCCGAAATCAGGCAAGTAACGATCATCATGTCCCAAAAGCATAACTTTATCATGGTGAGTGAAATAGCTATTAGATATAGTAATAGCAGTAGATCCCATAATTGCATCAATTAAGCCATCAGTACAATGAGACAAAGCACAATGATCAATCCAAATATTCCTCGAACTATATATGGAAATTCCATCACCATCTGACATGCCTCTCCATCCAACTTCAGTTGTACTTTGCCTTATATTACTATTTCCAGATGGAACACAGTTGTATATATGTATATTATGTATGATCACATTTGATACATATTGTAACGTTATACATCCACCTCCTGTAATATGCACGTTCGCGCCGCGGCCATCGATGGTTTTGTAATTATTTATCATGAGTTCATGTTTTAGTGTTATGATCATGTCTCCGGCAAAGGTGATCCACAGAGGTTCATCCTGGATCACCGCGTGCCGGAGAGTACCTGGGGTTGGGTTCACGGTGTCTAAGTCTGAGGGATCGGTGACTAGGTAATACCGACCGCCTTTTCCTCCTACTGCACCGTGACCGAACCCAATGGCACAGTCGGCGAGATGCTGGCGGTTGTTGGCCCAGTTTGGGTCGCACTTCCAGCAATCGTCTATTGGATTGCCCGTAAAACATTGGAAATTTGTTACTGTGGTATCGAGTATTTGTCTTCTTGCAACGGATTCATTGACCCTCCTATCACAAAAAAAAAGTGGGAAACATATAAGATGTAAATAATAAAAAATGTAGCAAAAGCAAAATGTATTAGGCAAAAAGAGCCAATTCAAGAACGCTGTGTATGTAATATGATCAAAACCAAGATGAAATTTTTGAATAAAAAGCGCACCCAGTATACTAAGCTCCCGCTATACGCAGGAAGGATCGGACCACAAGGGTCTATTATACGCTGCCTTACACCACACAATATTAAATTTTTGAATCATATTTGAAAAAACAGAGACATTCAGAAGAGAAAAGGCAGTTATGAGCAAAATACAAGTGAGGAATTAAAACAAAAGAACTCATTTTACCTCTTTACTTCTTGAACAACATCTTCAGGAAAGGGGTGTTGAAAAGGAAGAGTAAGATTAAAGGTAGCTATAATAAGAGGAGATAAGGTTAAGAAGAAGAAGAAGAAGAAAAAGAGAATGCAAGTATTAGAAAGCATTCTTTGAAAGGAGGAAAAATGGTGATGATGAGTTGTATTCTTGTTATTGTACTTATGTTCTGATTCTTGTTTTTGAATGCTCGGCTAGGAAAGTTACAAATTTGTGGAAAATTATAATGTCTTTTATATAGTAGATATAATAAAGGTGAAAAATGATTAATTATAAAAAGAATATTTGGCTTTATACTAGGGTCTTGGATTTCATAGGGGTATATTTGATGAAGGAAGTAATTTTAGAAATGGTGGCTGTGATGTTGAAACTAGCCAAAACTCAATTCCCATTGAAGGGAAATTGAAGAGGAAAATAGAGGATAGAGTAGCTTTTTTTGTTCTTTGTATTCTCCTTTGCAAATTGCAGCCTCCTCCAGTTTCTTACATTCCTGTCTTGCATCTTAATTATTCTAGGAGTTATTAATTAAGAAAGAAAAGTTTGGATTTTTATCCAAGAAAGCGGCTTATACAAAATGTACAAACAACTCCTTCCTTTAAAAATGTATTTGTTGTCCGAAATTCACTGGCCCGACTAATTTAAATTCGCATTACATAAGATCAGGTCGCATAAGGTCAGTAAAAGGAGAAACACTTTCTACTAGAAGTTTTCTCATTCTAAGAACTTGAACATGAGACCTCTCATGAAGGGTGGAGGGTTCCCGTCCATTCCATCACATTCAGTGCCGGATGCAACTCTTCATCTGAACTCCATATTCCGGACGAAATAGATATTTATGTCAAAACCAACTAAATTTTCTACAAATATTAAAAATAGACCCATTATTCAGTGCCACAAATGCAATTCTCAACAACGGGTTCATCTGAACTCAATATTCTGGACGAAATAAATATTTATGTTAAAAACCACTAAATTTTGGTATTTGACCACACTCTCCCTTGTGAAGTTGGCGGTTAAGGTTAGTTTCGGTTGGAATTGGCGGTTAAGGTTGAAAAGGTCAAAAGTGTTATGGCTACTTTTGGGATTGAGATTCTTTGCTGAAATGGAGATAGATTATGGAGGTTAACATCTCTGGATCAGGACAAGAACCTTTTTCCTGCTACTTTTCAAGTAAAGTCTAAAACGGTGTGAAAGTTAAGATTTCATAAACTCTATGTAATACAGTATCAACTGTTTACCCTTTTCTCAAGGTCATAATAACAATAAATTCAATTTTCAAAACATATAAAACGATTTTTTACACCTTCACGTCTCCTAAAATATAACTTCAAGCAGTAGTGCAAATTAGGGGCGTACAAACCGAATCGGGAAATTGCACAAAACTGATTAAAAAAATCGATTAGGTTTAATTTGATTTGGTTTGGTATTGAGTTAAAAAAATTGAACCAAACCGACATATAAATATATAATATTTAATAGAATATGAAGTGCTCCATATTAACATTAAATAATGGGTTGTGTGATCACTTTTCTTATCAAGTGTTACTGAAATGCGTCACTCTCTTTATTCTTCCATATTCATATCATACGATAAGATCTACTAAATTCTTATATCTTTTTCGATGCGAGTGATTATTATTATTTAGGTATCATATTGATTTTTATGTTTAATTACTAAATTCGGTTAACCTTGAAAGTGTACATCAACAAAAAATTATTGTCGGGTGACTAAAAAAATAACTATTATGTGTTATTAAGAAAATCCTGCCATGAGAATATTTTAAATGATAATATGTTTGTCAATTTTTTATATTTTTACTAAACATATATTTACTTATAAAAAATTTAACAAAGATTGAAATAACATTTAAGTAACAAAAAACCCGAAAAACCCGACAAAACCAAACCAATCAAAACCGATATAGTTGGTTTGGTTTGGTTTGATAAAAACCGAACCAACCCGATCCATGTATACCCCTAGTAAGTTAAATTACGTTTATTCACCATAAGTAAAATCTTAATGCATTAGGTGAAAGGATCTCGATATTTTTAAGATACCCAACTTTTTATCTTTTGGTGGAAACTGGACGAAAAGGAGGGAAAGACTAAAAATTAGATTCCCAATTGGAAGCTTAATAATGACATCTAGTACATCCAACATTAAAAGCTCACCAGAGCCAAAATATGCTTCAACATCAGAATAATGTATCAGACGAGATAGAGTCTTAATTAATATTATGATATAAACAAATCATATAATTGCAAATTTAATAGTATGGAGACACATTAGCCGATAATTCAATGAGAATTCATTTTTTCACTCTTTTAGATATATACCGCTTACAAAAAATTCTGGTATTCCACTGCGAAGTTGAACTCCGCATCTTCTCGATTATGGTCGACAACAATTTCAAGTATTTCAACTTAATTTTACCTTTGTATTGTTAAGAATTTTAAGTAGGAGTACTAAATTCTGCTAATTTTTTTTTAAAAAGAAATTCTAATAGTACATTTTAAAAAACAACTATTTGCTAATACTAAATTACTAAATATACAATGCTGTCAAACTCCACAATCAACATCAGTGACCGAGTGGATTACATTTTAGCTTCTTATTCTTATGCTCGACGGTGGCTTGACTTTTTGGCTCTTTTTCTTCTTCTTTTCTTTTCTTTTAATGTTTTGCTGACAATACATGATATACAATTTTCTTCATTTTTGGTGTATGTTTTTTTTTTTTTTTTTGCAAAAAGTTAAATTTTATTTAATGATACTGTAAAGTTTTTTTTAACATACATGTCATTTACAAGGTTATTACATGTAACTGCTGATCATAATAAATTAAATAAGTAATCTGGAAATAAAGTAAGTAAGCTTCTTCACCATATTTAAATACGTTCATAGTATAAGAAATTCATTATATTGTCATCGAATATAAATTAAATCATCATAGAAGTAATATATGTATTAAAGTATTATTATTATTATTTTATTATTAATAATTACAAAGCTATATATTCTATCTCCACATGTCACTTGTGCTTTTTTGGGAGCCCCTTTTATCGCTTGGTTTTTAAAAACAACTCTTTAGTAGTTTTTGAAGTCAAAAGAAGAATGCCAGGTAGGATATTTGGGATCCTTGTCAGCAAATAAAGAAATTTTCTGTTTCAAGACAAACATGTAGGGCTGTTAATTTACTACATCGGTAAATTGCATAAGAAAACTCTTTTATATATTGTAAGTATCAGAATTAAAGGAAATTTCATTGTCAAGCTTAAATTGAGAAACTAATGTTATAATATCAATTTTTTCCTTCAAAACGGAAAATGAAAATCACAAAGTTGAAGTGCTAACATATTGCATTTACACATATTCCAAGATGAACCCACACACACTACAACAAAAATCTTTCATCTCGAGATATACTGAATATTCACAATGTTTGTGCATGTAATTTAACATGTTATAATTGCAGGCTATTTATCATTTTTTTTAGATTATCATATTGAGTTTGTTATAAAAAGTTATACACCTATTAAATTGTAGATCAACTTAATCTGATAAGGTAAAAATACTTTGTATTGTTAGTGCATACAATATATTTAAACTCAAAGCTCTTCCTTAACTCTTCCATTAATTAGCTTCCTATGTTAAACTCTTGTCTAGGTACAATCATGGGCGGAGCTCGGTGAACGGAAGGGGGGTCGAATCCCCGTTATCGAAAATTATATAAGGTTAACTTTTTTCCCATGTATATATAGCAGATGCTAAATCCCCTTACACTCTATTTAGATCATTGTTCCCCATCGCTTTATAATGTATTGTATTGTATCGTATCGTTTTATGAATACAATGTTTGGATAGATTGTATTGTTTGTTATTGTTAAATAATATTTTGCTGTTTGGTTTTACTGTATCGTACTGTACTGTAAATGATAAGTTTACTAAAATACCCTTAATTGTTTAAATATTAAATTTATCTAAAATTATGCATAAAAATAATCTTAAAAAATAAAACAGAAGAAGGCAAAACATCTTAAGAAAGCAGAACAAAGGAGCAAGACAGAAGAAGGCAAAACAAAGGAACACATCTAATTAGAATTGAGTTAAAAGCAAATTAGGAGAAAAAATAAAACAGAAGGCGGCAAAACACCTCTAACGTTGGCGACAGAAGTTCTAGAAAAAAACAAAGTAGGTTATAGGTTGGAGATTTGGAGTTAAAACAGAAAAAAAAGATAAAGGGGTAAAATAGAATTGTGGAGTAATAAGTTAGGGCATAATTGGAAAAGAAAAAAAAAAGGAAACAATCCCACCACACCAAATCGGTTGTTTAAAAAAAAGGGACTTTTTATTGTTCCGGAACGATGGATTTAACAATACATACAATGAAACAATCAAAACAAACAGTGTTTTGAGATAACAATACAATACGATACAATGGGGAACGACCATCCAAACAAGTTGTTAGTCTCTTCGCATGTTTACCCTTCTTTCTTATTTTTTAATCATCTTGGTGAAAATTCTGATTCCATCATCGGATAAAATAGACCTCATTAACCCCTTACTTTTAATATAATAATTTTTTTTCCTGCATATACTATTGCAAATCGCAATGTGTACTCTCTCTTTTTCTTTTTTGCTTTTCTTATAAGAAAATATATCCTTTTTTTCTTTTTAATCAAGAAGATGCATGTTAAATGCATGTGTATGACTTGGAATGGGGTATTTATGATAAGGATTTTGGAAGGGGTGGGGTAGCCGATGTATGAGTGGCAAGTCTACGTGTATTTTATCCAAGTAAAGAAGTTATGCTTTTATGCATTGCCTATAGACACAGAAATATCAAAACACAAAAAGGAGACGCCTAAAGTTGTTTTCCAAAAAGTGCTCAACTTGGACTTGCTTTCATTTCTCTTCGAATCAAAGTATCGGTTTTATTCTCTAACGATATCTACCGTGGAATTAACAAAAAAGAAATAAAAAAATAGACTTTGAATGATACATTTATTGGATTAAGTCAGACAAAAGATATTCTTAACAATATGGTGTAATACTATTTGATTTAGATCAAGCTCGCACATTTTCTCAAAATATATCATACGGTTAAGTATATCCCTACCTTGTATATATAACCTTTTTTCTTATCAATTTCAATATATGTGAGACTATGTTTGGATTATCTTACCCTCGAGCGAAACTAAGTACTAGATTACTCATCAACAGATTATAAATGGGCTTATATAGAGATTTATTGTGTGCCACCTACATATCATTGGAGTATTTATGGCCACCAATCCAGACTTCTTGTGTGTGTATTTTGAAACTACAAATAAATCCAATAAATTGGTACTCCCTCCGGTCCACAATAAGTGACCAATTTGCTTTTGGCACGCCTATTAAGAAAATAT